ATGACTCCCCTACACAACATGAAGAACAAAACTCATTGACATTTTTATTGGATGGAGTAACATTACAATGATCAAGAACAAGTTTAAGGACATGAGAGTTAGGGTGATCCAACCTAGTATGCCACAAAAAGTGAGAACTAGGAGGTCAAAGCTACATCTGAAACTTTATTTACATTATTGAAATTTAAAATAGGCATAGAACTAAATAACAAATCAATAGAATCTGGGTGTGGTTCAACTATGGAGGATAACAACACAAATGGTTGATGAAGCTTTAGATGGGAAAAAGGAGTAGAGTCCATCAGCACCAACAACACCTTGAAGCAAAGTTTCATTGGTCCCTTGAGATTTGACAAGACAATGATGAGAGTGAAATTCAAATGGCAAATTTGCTTGCACTTAATAAATTTTTTGTAATAGAAGGAGCATGAAGTAAGTTGCTTAATCTAAAAGAAATAATTGAGCTAATAGGGGACAAAAAATAGGAAGAACCAAAACCAATAATATGAAAACCTTGACCATTTCCAATAAAAATTTGGTTCAGACCCTTAAAATGACCTAGCTAATGTATATTTTGAGGTTCACCAGTGACATGAAAGGAGGCGCCTGAATTAGGAATCCAAGTAGACTTGGAAACATCCTAATAAGAAAAGGTAATCAAGGCACTAGGAGTGGTTAAGGTGGCATTGGTAACCAGATTAGAGATTTTTAGGTTTGGATTGACCCAAGTGTTGGAAGCTTTGTTATTGGATTAAAGCAAATTAAGTAGCACAGGTTGTTGGGTTGAGGGATCATAGAGCACTAGTGACTCATGAGGATGATAACTTGAATTAACCCTGTAAAAGCAAATATTGGCAATGTGACCATATTTTAAGAAGATTTGACATTGGAAGTTCGCAAAGCGACCTTCACACTCTTTATCAGTACCCCTACTAGAGTGAACCCCAATGTTGCCACCACCATCTCCACAACCACCATGGTCACCACCACCACGAGCATATCCACTATTAGAATTGTTGCAAGTTGTAGTATTCGTCAAGTTAGAATGCACATATCCTTGTGTGTAGTTGACAGAGGAAGAGAATGACTATTTTCAAAATCTATTAGTTTAAGATTCATGTGCAAGAAGAATAGCCTCAACTTCAACAACAGGAGTCAAAAACTTGCTTTCTTTGACAGAAATCACTAATGCATAATCCTGTGATAAGCCTTCTAGTATGGTGTCAACGTGTTCTTCAAGTAGTACTGGATTTCCCAAACCAGCAAGTTTGTCAACAATTAATGTTCTCAATTTGAGACAAGAACTGGCACATTGTCTTACCATCAAGGTAGGTGGATCAAAGGTTAGTGAAAAGTTGACGAGTTCACAGTTCACACCTTTGTCTGCATATGAAAGTACTCAGATTTTATCCCAAACCTAGTATGATCATAAGTTAAGCCAATGACATGAGAGAGAACAAATTTTGACAAAGTCGAGTGAAGCCAGTTGAGTAGCATCTGGTCTTGGACTTCCAAGCCTCATATACGGGATTCACTTTGTCAATAGTGCAATCTTGATCGATGAGGTATTGTAGAGGAATCGACAAGTTAACAACGAACTGCGGGATTAGAGGAAGCCATATATGAGAAGAGAAGTTGGGTGAAGAAAATTAGGGTTTACCATTGGAAAAGGTGACTCTGGATAACATCTTAGAAAATTTGCAGAGAGAAAAGGTTAAAAGTTGAATGGAGGAGTTTTTCATTTGATTCAACCCAACGAAAATGAAATACAAAGGAACATTTATAGTAGCTACCCTTGCCAATATAGCTAACAAATTAACAATTATTACAGCTAACAAAACAACCAAAAGGAATATATTATTGTTGCAACAGATTAAAAATAATAGAAATAGAAACTAATAAAAATGAATATTTTTTTTATATTCTACTCTAATAAGAGGTGTATGATACATTTTAGAAAAGGGAGAAAGAAGTTTAGAGTGAAAAATTAAGAAAAATATGTTTGATTGATTTTTATTATTATTGAATTATTTATTTATGTTCGATGCAAATAAATAAATAAATAAATATATATATATATATATATATATATATTTACACCGCAATGGTCAAAATTTTTATCGCAACAACCACAATCATAAATATGAAAAATTATTAGATAGTTTAAAATTATCAAGTATTTATGATTCTAATTAACTACTGTATAATATATTTTAAAAAATTAATTTTAAAAAAATAATTATTATATTTAATTGCATATATAAAAATTAATTATGGGCCATGTGGTCTTGCACCACAACAATCACAATTTAGAATCATGAAATATTCTAATTAATAGTACCGGAGCTATACTCTTCCAACATTCCTATTAAAGACATGAAATAATAATCGTACCTTGCCAAGCACCACGATATTTTCCTCCACCATATCGAATCGGCCTTCTAAGTGACCTCCTCTTTCGTAGCAAATGTTGACGAATAGGTGGAGCTGTCTCTGGTTCAGAATTCTAACACATGAAATTAAATCAACAACGTTAGTCATTGCACTGCAGTTTACAATACCTCAACTTGGTTTTGTTACATCAAACATAGATTCACATATACACACAAAAAAAAAATGACTACAAAAATTAAGAAGCAATACACGTATGAACATGCACAAACCCATTTTCCTGCGGTTGCAAAATTATATCAATTAAATGTACAACTCATGAGAACATTTTGAAACCCCCGGCCCTATTATCATAAGTCCTAAATATCTTCCATTTTCTGGCTACCAGGAGATGGAAAAGTTACCTGGATAACCCTAATCGGTGGCGTAAGTTTTTGTTTTCGTTTCTTCATCCAGTATCTAGACACAGCTTTTAAAACATCCTTAGTACCAAGATCCTGAGGACACTGGTTAGCAGCAGATTTTGCATCAACACAACCATCTGGATTAAAATGAAAAGCCTTTTCCAAAGCATCAACAATTAACTCAAAATTTTCATTTGAAACACGTAGAGACTTTTTGTTGAACTTCCTGAGCCATTTTTCATCTTCAGAATCCATGTCATAATTTTCGTTCTTCCTTGTCATTGCTATAGAAAACTCATCACCATTTGCAACCACAATCATTTTCTGTTGTCCATCATTCACTTCAATTGTCTCAGACACAATGGTTTCACCACGTAGCAGAAAAAGTGAGTTAAACATAGATCTCAAAAACATTGCAGAGTGCAGATACATAAAACAAAAAGGAGCGGCAGAAAAATCCATGCAGAACAATGGTATGGCCCGAGTGATCCCAAAAAACCGGCAAACCCCAACATTTTGACTAGGCGGACCCTGAAAGAAGATTAAACTTATGTAAGAACATAATGTAAGTAAAGAATGAATTTAATTTTCATGAAAGCCAACTAATATAAATATAACTTTCGAGTACAGTAATTATATATTATAAAAAAAAAAATCTTTTACAAACCAAATATTATAAAAAATAATCTTACCATATGTAAAAATTTATAAATAAATACCAGCTAGTTTATATCAGTATGTTATAATTAAGTTTATAAAAATATAACATATATATATATATATATATATTATTGTTGTTATGAAAATATTTTACAATAAAAGAAATTAAAAACCTGCTTCTCCCAACCGAAAAACGTAGTTATGAAAATCAGACAGACTAGTTGGTTTGACCAATTTAATCATAATTTGGTTTAGTAACTAGTCCATTATTTCTATAAAAATAAAAACGAACACTTTAAAATTGGTTTCGAAAATCAGACAGGTCAGTCGGATTGACCAATTTAATCATAATTTAGTTTAGTAACTTGTCCACTAATTCTTAAAAAAAAAAAAAAAAACCGAGCATTTTAAAATTTATGTGAAATGGTAAAACTGGTGGAAATGATTTAAATTAATTAGTATTATTAGAAAATGTATTTTTGTAAATTTGAAATTTAACTCAAAACATTTTGAAGCTAAATAAAAATATATATTTATAAGGATTATAAATAAAAATAAATTATTTTATCAATTAATAATTTTCTTACATAAGATATAGTTTATTAATTTATATTTTATAATTAATTTTTCATTATGGATATTATTGTATTTTATTAAAATTTAAACTCAAATATTGTGAAAATTTTATGTGTGCTTTGAATATTAAAAACTTATAAAATGATGTTTTATTTTAATTTTTAGTGTAATAAAATTATTATATTTATTTAATATTATTTTATATTATATAAATATTATTTTATTAATATTGCTTTGATCACATTTAACTGATTGAAATCTGAATAAGTGTATTGATTCTTGACCAGTTGAACTAACGGTTTGATTTTGAAAGAAAAAAAACATTGATCACAATTCCTGTTAAATGGAAATAATTAAATAAAGGATAAAAAATTACCAAAATAAAGAAAAAAATCTAAAAAGAAATCTTAAATTTGCCTTAAAAAAAATAAAAGCCCTCATTTCTACAAGTGAACCCAAACCAACATATACCAGTTCACAAACATATCTGCAGAAAGTCAGAAACAATCAATATCTTTTCTTTTTTAAATGAATTATGCGATTTTGTAAGAAACAAAAAAAAAAAAAAAAAAAAAGTGGGAGACGTGGTAGTGTGTAGTTTCCATGAGTTAGAAAAAATAGGAAATTACCTGCAGCAAGTAGATTCCACGCGAAGCATAGGTGGAACGAAAAGGTTCCATCATAAGGAAATGAGCGAGCTCCTTAAGCGTGAACTTCCACTTTGTGATATAATTCAACGCATTTAACAAGAACTGCGAGAACTCACCACCCTTCTGCTTCACAACAATAGCCAAAACACACCCATTTTTGTTGCTATTTTCACCCGCGGCTGCAGCACCCTGTACACAATCCCAAACCTGTGACTGTCACGCTCCTCGGGATCACCCGCAGGACGAGACTTTGGCTTCACCATCATCCAGCGTTTCGCTTCCGCGTCGTCATTCATCAACTTGGAATATGTCATTGTGATTCTGCTTAATTAGGTCAATTTTCCCCCGATTGCTGACTCTCTGAGTTGCCATAATTATTAAAAACATAAATCCAAAAAGTTATTACGGTATAAAAAATGAACGTGAAAATTAAACACGCACCTTGACTCAGTGATGACTCAAAATCACTGGACTGGACACATGCAAAAGAGGAATATATAAGAAAACAGTTTACTCAAAAGTCGAAACAGCCGAAATGAAATGAAATGAAAATGAGAGAGAGAGCACAGCAGAAGAACAACGTTGAGCTTTCACAATCCACCGGAAGAGAAAAATGACAACGTTTAGAAGGGACTGGAGAATAGGGTAGTATGAGATCAATGAAGAGAGAGAGAGTTGCGACTTGCCAACCCTTTTGTTTATGCAAAGAGAGAACAAGGAGAGGATATTTATTGTTTCTTTAAAATTTAATTTATGTCATTAATTATTGATTATAAAAAAATTAAATGTTCATTTAATTTATGTCGTCATTAATTGTCAAATATATAAAAGAAAACATTAAATGTATATTTAATTTATGTCATTAATTATCCGTGAAATTTATTCAAAACTCATACTTCATTTATAATATTTATTGTATTTATATTAAAAAAAATGAATTTTTAGTGAAATTTAATACTCCGTCCATTTTTTTGTTTAAGTTTATGTACAAGAATTAAGAAAATGATTGATATTTTATTTTTTAAAGTATTTATTACTTATTTTTTTATTATACCCTTTAGGTGATTGAAGAAGAAATAAGTACATTGAAAAATGAATAAATACATTGTTCAGTAAATACTTATTAATTATTAAGGTAAAAATGAGAAAAAAAATAATAAGTCATTGATTTTAGAAAAGTGACAATGAAAAAAGAACAAAAAATTAATGTCAAAACGAATATGAATAAAAAATGGAGGGAATATTATATTTAGTGATAATAAAAAAAATGGTTATAATATGATAATCACTAGTATTAGTTTTTAAATATATAATTATCCATTTATTGACTTTTTTTACTACCACTAAAAGTTTGATTTTTTACTAGTGTTACTAAAAGTTTAAGAAAAGTTTTTTTAGTTTATATATTATTTAATTGTCTTATTTTTAGTCGATATTATATTTGTAAGATGAGTGTTATCTTTTATTTATATACTCTTTAATTATTTTATTTCTAATTAATGTGATTTTTTTTCAATATACTCTCCTCAAGTCTAGTCAATATGGAACTTGTAAGGTGAGTATTGTCCTTTAATTTATTTATGTTATTTAATTATTTTATTTTTAGTCAATGTGAGAGTTGAATTTTTTTCAATATACCTCCTTAAAGTTTAATTAGTACATAAATAAATGTGGGATTTATGAATCTAATTCAATCTTATAAAATTAACTTGTAAAGTGATGATTGTCATCTACTTATATATTTTTTAATTGTTTTAACTCTAGTCAATATGGGACTTTTCAATAAAATAAATTAAAAGCTACCCTTACTTTTTTACTAACCTTTTTAATAATTACTTATAAAAATATTTTTAGTGACTATCATTTATTAGTCATCATTAAATAATTATCATTAATAGTAAATTTTGATGTATAATTTTTAGTAACTATTATTTATTAGTTATTAATAATTTTATTAGATAATAAAATAAAGATAATTAATTTATTCTCATTAAATACTTTTCATTAATGATAAATTTTAGTGTAATGTGACCAACTTGTTTCATCTGTATAACGTTATGTAAATGGAGACACAAAATTTTGTGTTCTAGTTTAAATTTATTTTGTACGAGAAATTATTTTTTATTCTATTTTTTGAATAATTATAAAAAAAAACTCATTTTTTTATTGTTTGTATACGAAAGGTAAATATAAGATCTTTGTTATATGATTTTTTTTTTTTTTTACATGTAAACATATAGGGATTAAAATTAAGATTTTTCCATGTAGGAGAGATTGAGGTTTATGGAAGTGTTCTGTAATAATATATAAATTCGACCTTTAAACATTTAATGGGTAGGTATCTAACACAACATCATCGTAGATACATACATTCCCCCATGATAAATATCTATCCTCTTCGAACATAACTATATGTTATGTTCTTTTGGGAATAGGCAACAAACTAATCGATAGCACACATGCACTTGTCACAAAACACACACACACACGCATGTTAGATGTGAAGTGAATTAGATAGAGTTCATTAAAAAAACTTGGGAAGTATTTAATTTTTCTATATTCTTCTCTTTTATAAACAAATATTTTAATTTTTAATTTTATCTTAATTGTTCTTTAAATTTTACTTTCTTTACAAATAAATACATTATTAACCTTTATTTTGTCCCAAATGATCTGTGAAATTTATCTTTTAAAAGTAATAATAGAAATCAATTAGTACATAAGAATGAAAATCAAATAATATTTTAGGGAAGTCAAAATTTAAATTTATTTATTTTAAAGATACTAAAAATAATTATTTCAAATTTTAAAAGTTGAAAGGTAATTTTTTTCCAAAAGCAAAAAGCGATACTCACAAATTTTATGGAGATTAAAAATATATTTAAAATTTTAAAAATATTTTATTTTCAAGCTATTCTAGGAACCGAATTAAATACGTCGTCAAACCAATTATATAGGATGAAGCTTCGTCCTTCATTTTCGACAACTTTGTTTTCTTACCTGTTCAAATGTTTTAAAAATGTTTTGACCTATCTTAAAAGATTTGAAAAAGAAAACGTGATTCAATATTCTTTTTATGTTTTTCTCTTTTTTAAGTGTACTATTACTAATATAACTATTATTTCAATCATTCAAAGGTTTAGAATAAAATTTAATTTTATGAAAATATTAATGAAAATTAATTATCTCGACTATTTTTATTGATTTTGATAAATTAGTTATTTATTTTATATATAACGATCGAAGAGATTACCTTTTTTTTGTGTGATAAGTAGATGTATTATTATTTAATAATTTTTAATTTATTGTTTAGAAAAAAGATTAACTTCGAAAATTGTTCTTTCATTTTGCTTTATTTTTGTTAAGATTTATTTCTCAAATTAGATTTCGAGTTAAATTGCCCTAAAAATTTCTTTAAATATATATTAAGATTTCCTCTTTGTCAAAGTTCAGTTATTTGCATTTTAAAATTACTACCTTCAATTATGAATACTTTTATAATATCTTAGAACTATTTATTAGGATCTCTATTTTTATTGAAAAACTATACATCTTTTGTTACAATTTAACTAATTTATGTATATTTAACTAAAAAAATTTATATTAAAATTTATAATGAAGTACTTGTTATTTGAATTACTTTTATTCATAATAGTTGTTATTGCTTATAATAAACTCTATACCGATTTTTCTTTTTAAATTATTTTTTGTGGGTGCAGTGTCTTCTAAATCATGCTTTCTGGTTTCTTAATCGAGTGGGTTCAAATTGAATGGAGATGGATTTATATATGCTAATTTTTTTTAGAAAAAAAAAAACAAAACTAAGTGATATTTTTATTGTATCTTCTAAAATTTATTTATAAAAAAAAAATAAGCACATTAAAAAGTAACATCAAAGGAGATGAAGAATACGAAAAAATATATATATAAAAAATGGTCTCAATTTTATTTGTCATTTGTGTAATCCATCTATAAAATGTGAATTTATTTTAAATATTCTTTATTATTATTATTATTATTCCGTTGTAAGTTGTATTTTGATACTCTATAATCTATATAGCCGTTAGCTGCGGGTATTTGGTTTTTGCTTCTAAGCTTGGCCCTTTCTCACATTAGAAAAGATTGATATTTGCTTATGAATTTGAAGAAAAGTGAATGCTAATAGCAAAGAGAAAAAAGAAATCTAAATAAATATAAAAGCTATCAGTCTACCGGACACGTACATGCAAAATCCTGCGAGTTCATATTCTAGTCAGTACAGCAGAGATTTTTATATCTGATATAAAAACATGCTCTAACATAACTTATAGGACTTTACAAATCTTATACATACACACATATAATTAAATACTACACATATACTTAAATACTTAAAGAGAAAAATTAAAAAGAAGTCTTACCATTATTTTTAATAAATAATAAAAGGTTGCTAGGTAAAACCTATATACGACAGCGAATAATGTGCGGCAATCAGTGAAGAAAGACCACAAGCGGATCCTCTAGATTAGCTTGAGCAGCTTGGGCTACTCTAAACAAGCCAGTGGCTCTGTACACTGCCATATCAGCCCTCAGCATAAGACGTTGAGCCCTTCTGCGCTTTTCTATTGCCAGTTTCGTTAATGCATTTGCAGATGCCTCAGCATCTTCAACCTTTTGAATCTCCTCCAAAATATTTTGTTCAAATGCAATTTCTGTAAATGGATTAACTATATTAGACAAAGTTTTACCACGTGTATATATATACATGCAAGAAGGCAACTGCAATTTAAATGCTCGTTAATCAATGATGAATCAATCTCAACAGCCTTTTTGGCCGTCAAATTAATAACAATATAAAAAGGGAAAATAAAACAAGATTGCAGAAACATTGAAACCTTTTTTTTAATCTTTGTTTTTATTTTCTGTCTGATACATGCAATTACAAAATATATTATGTGAAGCATCAAGCATTACAACAAAATGTAGGCTAAGAATGTAGCTAAAGAAAAATAGGAAAATATCAAAACTGTAACATTTAATAAACAAGCCATTAAACAGGATCTAGGTCAAGTTGTTGTGTTCCATATGGATGGTAAAAATGAAAACAATGATAATTGCTTAACTATCTACTTAGATACCAAGAAAGGTATAAATCCTCGTTCAACATTCCTATTAATTAAAGACGTGAAATATAATAATTATACCTTCCCAAGCACCACGATATTTCCCTCCACCATATCGAACTGGCCTTTTGAGTGATCTCTTCTTTCGTAGGAAATGCCGACGAATAGGTGAAGGTTGAGGTGGAGCTCTCTCTTGTTCATAATTCTGACGCATGAAATTATATCAACCACGTTAGTCATTGCACTGTTGTTTACAATCCCGAAAATTGGTTTATTACACCAAAAATGGATTTAATATTCACAAAGAAAAATATGACTACAGAAATTTAAAATCTATACAAGTATGATCATTCACAAACCCACTTTCCTGTTGTAGCAAAACTATATCAATTAAATTTACAAGTCATCCAAGATCATTTGGAAAACCCCATTAGTGTAAGACTGTAAGTCCTAAATATCTTCCATTTTCTGGCTACAAGGAGATGAAAATGTTACCTGGAAAATCCTAAGCAGTGGAGTACAGTTTTGTCTTTGTTTTCGTTTCTGCATCCAATATCTAGACACAGCTTTCAAAACTTCCTTGGTACCAAGATCCTGAGGACACCGATTAGCAACAGATTTTGCATCAACACAACCATTCGGATCAAAATAAAAAGCCTTCTCCAGAGCATCAACAATTAACTCAAAATTGTCATTTGAAACACGATCAGACTTATTATTAAACTTTTTGAGCCATTCTTCATCTTCAGAATCCATGTCATAATTTGCTGTCTTCTTTGTCATAGCCCTAGAAAACTCATCACCATTTGTAGATATGTAAGTATCTGGCCTATTAAAGGGGACACTATGACTTTCTGCGTAGTCAAAGACGCCACGAAAGCCCGGTACATGGATAGTTTTGGCAACAAGAGCTGAGAAATTACGATCAAAACACTCCTTATAAAGGGATTTAAAGACCATCCAATCCTGATCATCAGTAAACTCCAGCTTCCACCCATTGTCCAACAAGAACAATCTCCATTGGATGGATTCATTGAAAGTAGAGGACCTCATCACTTTTTCAGGCTCAAAAGTGCAACATGTCAATCCATCTTTCTTCACGGCAAGAAACCACTCTGAAGAAGAAGATATTTGTTCACAGGTAACAACTATTCCTCCTACCCTGTAATAATTGTAATCTGACTTGTCTAACTCTGGAATCAATATATTTGCATAACAGTTAGGCAAAACCACTCCTAATGATGAATCTACCATTGCGAAATTCTCTTGTGAATGGCCTATAGTGGTGCAGCTGTTAGAAAAACTTATAAGTTTCTCATGGGATGCAGCAACCACAATCATTTTCTTTTGTCCATCATTGATTTCAATAACCTCAGACACATTGGTTACACTATGTAGCAGAAAAAGGGACTTAAACATAGATCTCAAAAGCATTGCAGAATGCAGATACTTGAATGAAAGAGGAGCGGCGGAAAAATCCATGCAGAACAACGGCGTCGACTGGGTGATCCCGTAAAACTGGCAAACCCCAACATTTTGAGTAGGCGGACCCTGAAAGAAGATTAAACTTATGTAAGAATACAATATAAGTAAATAATGAATTTAATTTTCATGGAAAGTCAAATAATTCAAATACAACTTTAAAGGAATTATTGTAAAAGAATAATGTTACCATATGTAAAACTTTGAAATAAATAACCGTGTATATTAATATATATATTCTAATCAAATTAATAAAATATAAAATATATAACTTAAATATGTTTTTAATTTATGTTAAATAAATGAATTTTAATTTAGGTCTTTGTAAAAAGAATTTCATTATTTTTCATCTTTTTAAATTTTTTAACATTATTTTTTTTCTCGTGAAATAAATAAATTTTGATTTTAATTTCTTTTAAATATTTTTTTTTATTTTTGTCTATCTAAATTTTTAAATCATTATTTTTTATTTTAACAGACATTTTAAAATAGATAAATAATAATTATTTTAAGAACCTTTACAAAATTTTAAAGATAATTAAATAATGACATAATATTACTAATGATCATAAATAACATTTAAAATAGACATTTAACTTATCAATAAACAAATAGTACATAATTAAAAGTAAACACAAAAAAAAAGACTAAAATCAATTGTTTCAATTTTAGAGAGATGAAAAATAAAGATTTTTTTTTATAAGGATCAAAGTTAAAACTTACTAATTTTTTTATATATATAAAATATTTATCGACGTTTTGAAAATATTTTATTAATGAAAGAAATTAAAAAACATACATTTCCCAACTGACAAACATGGTTTTGAAAAATAGAACGCATCTGTTGGTTTGACCAATTTATAATTAGAATTTGGTTTAATAACTTGTCTATTAATTCTTAAAAATTGATGTAAATTGGTCAAAATGGATGAAAATCAGTTTAAATGAATACTATTAAAAAAATATTCTTAAAGTTTTTAAATTTAACTTTAAACATTTTAAAAATAAATAATAGTTTAATTTTATTTAAATCATTGAACTTATAAGTGTTTTGACCGGTTAAAAGATGAGTTAGATTTTTTAAATAATTAAAAAAAAAAGACATTATATTGATGATAACTCTCGGTAATTAAATGAATTTAATTAAAGACACCGTCGAGAGAAAAAAAGTCAAATAATGAAATCCTAAATTTACCTTAAAAACCCTCCTTTCTTTATCTTTTTGAAGAAAAAAAATGATGTAATTATTCCATTTTGTAAGAAACACAGATAAATAAAACAAAAAAGTACGACACGTGCTACCATGCAGTGTTGACGATGTTATTACAAAGACACAAAAAGAGAAAACGGAAATTAAAAGTTAACAGCATTGAATTACCTGCACTAAGTGGATCCCCTGCGAAGCGCATGTAGAACGCAAGGGTTCCATTCGAAGGAACTCGGCGAGCTCCTTAAGCGTGAAGCTTAGTTTCATGACGAAACTCAAGACTTCATACAAGAAGCGCGAGTTCTCAGCGTTCATGTCACCACACTTGTTCATAACAACAGCCACCACGCACCGATTGTTGCTGCTATTATCACCTCTCTTCCTCTTCCTCTGATACACCAGCGCATACCTCTCACGCTCCACCGAATCATCCGCAGGACCACCTTTCCGCTTCACCGCATCCGCAGAATATGTCATTCTCATTCTGCGTTAATTAGGTCAATTTTCCCCCGATTGCTGAGTCTTCGAGTTCACACACACTGCGACTTGGCAAAATTATTATAAAAATAATCTCAAAAAACTTACTACACCATGAAAAAATGAACGTGGAAATTAGACACACACGTACCTTGACTCGTTGACGACTCAAAATCACTGAACTCGACGACACTAAAGAGGAATATATAATATATAACAAAACAATTCACCGAAATGAAAATGAGAGAGATCGAGATCTAGAGCGCAGGACAGAAGAGCAGCGTTTACCTTTGACAACCGTCGCGGCTCGCGGAAGAGAAAAACGAGGACGTTAGGAAAAGAAAAGAGTAGTATGAGATGAGATCTATGAAGAGAGAGTGAGCTGAGAAAGAGAGAGCGAGAGTGATGCAAAGCGTGTTTTGCTTTTGATGAGGATATTTATACTTGTGTTTGGAGTTTTATGAGACTGCGTGAAATTTACCTCACTCGCCATTACTTCTCAGTTCTCACACTCACCAACTTCAACTTGTTGCATCTCTCTAACGTGGAGACACGGATATTTCACGTGGGGAAACCTTTTCTCAACTTTATATTTATTTATTTTATAAATTACCCTTTTATTCTTGTTTTTGAATAATAACAAAGGTAAACATAAGATTTTTGTTATTTTATTTTTAACGATGTAAAAAATATTGGAACTAAAATTAAGATTTTTCCATCGGAGATTGTGTTTACGGAAATGAGTACTCTGTAATTAGTTATATGTAAATTCGACCTTTAAACATTTAAGGAGTATGTATCTAACACAACATCTATATATCATCTATCCTCTTGAAGCATATATAACTATGTTATGTTCTTTTGGGAATTGAATTGGAAAAAAAACTAATCATTAATTAACTGGCATGCTATATATATATATATATATATATATATATATATATATGTCGATCTTATGCGATGTGAACGTTATATAATAAGATAATATTTATTAAAAATTATTAGGAATCAGTCAAAAAATATTATCGGGTATTTAAGTTTCCTAAATTTTATCTCTTTTGTAAATAGGTGTTCTAAATTTTAAATTTTTTTCTAAGTTGCTATTTAAACTTCTCTCTTTTAACAAATAAGTACTTAGATATTAATTTCATCTCAATCAATTCTTAAAACTTACTTTTTGTTATAAATAGTCTCCTAAATTAAATTAATGTCACACTACTAATTAATTAACTGAGAAAAAATATAGACTATTTATTTACTTTAAATCTCCATTATTTACTAGTTTTAATTTTGTAAATCACTTTTCCAAACATTAAAACATAATACATTTGGAATAAAAAGAATCAAATAAAGGCTTTTTATTGTTTTCTCTTTTCTAAATTCATTTTTTTTATGTTTTAGTATATAAAAATGAATTATAACGAGAAAATGAATAAAAGGATTAATATATGAATGATATTGGCATTGAAGATATTTAACTCTAATTTGATATAAAGAATTATTTGTAAAATGACAAATTTTGATGATAAATTAGAATAAATTAAAGATCAATAATTTATTTACAAAAACATTAAAAAAAATTTAAGGATTAATTGTAACAAAATTAAAGTTGATAGTATCTCGTTTCAAATAAAATAAAGTTTAAGAATTAATTAAGATAAAATTTAAATTTAAATTAAGTGTCTATTTAAAGGAGGGTAAAGTTTAATCAAGGGTTGAATATACTTTCCTAAAGTTATTTTAACGCTTTATTTATATGAGGAAAAAGAATAAAAAAGAATAAAACTTCACATGTTAGAAAATGGTTAATTTTCAAAATCTCAATCACTAACTCTAATAACAATTAAGTTCTATATAATTAAATTTGTTAATTTTGTAATATAAAAAACCATAAATTTATTCATAAAAAATAAAAATAAAATTGGCTAGAAAAAATTATTATAGATAATCTTTGACAACTAATTTAGTAACCACTTAACTTGTTAACTAGGTTTGTCACTAAAGTATTTAGTAATAAAATCCATCGCTACATATGTCTCAATATATGTGGCATTATATTTAAATCAATAACTTCAGATTTTGGTATGTATGTATATATATTCACTGTTAATAAAGTTGAGCGTGTATGTTTTTTGTGATTGCATATACTATGCATGCCTTGGTCGTAATGACGACAATCACTCAATCGTGATATCCAGTAGGGGTGTTCATGGATCGGTTTTTTCAAAAAAACCGATCCGAACCGAACCGAACTGTTTTATAAAAGTGGATCGGTTAACCGATCCATTTTTTATAAAATGGATCTGTTTGGTTTTTTTAAAATATGGATTAGTTTTTTTGAAAATGGATCGGTTCGGTGCGGTGCAATTATCCACTTTTTACTCATATATGGATCGGTTTTTTTAAAAAACCAAACCGAACCGAACCGATCCACTTTGTAAAAATGGATCGAATAATTGAACCGGTTTTATAAAGTGGTTCGATTCGGATTTTTTTTCAAAATGGATCGGATTTTTTAATATGGATCGGATCAGTTATGGATCGGTTCGGATCAATTTGGATTTTTTGCACACCCCTAATATCCAGATATCAGATATGACATGTAATAAACATTATATGCTTGTTGCGTAAATACATAGGGAAAATTGAGAAAATTGCACTCATCTTGCCCAAGATTTATTAAAATCATCTTTTTTTTTTTAAATTAATTATCTTCTTTAAAATAACACTATTAATTAAAGTGAAAAAAATAAAAAAAAAATCAAAATAAAAAAATAAAAGTCAATTTATATTCTACTAATCATATGTGTTTATTTTTCGTTTCTAAATTACATACATTATTGTGTCTTCTTTAATAATTTTTTTTTTTATTTTTCAATTTTAAAATAATAATTTTTTAGTCATTTTTTTGAAATTATTTCCTAAAATTGATATATTTTTTAAACCACAACACATAATATTTATGATATAATTTGAGAGTTAAAATTGAATAAAAAATTAAGTCTCATCCAATTATTGATAATTTTTACATCAATAATTTGTTCTCTCTTAACAATCTATAAATAATGTTATCTTATATACACTAGTGCAAAAAGGAGCTACTACGTCTCTTCATTTACGTCGGAAACTAGCACACCCGACGTTGTAAAAACGCGGTGGCAGTTCCGTAAATAAGAGGAGGAAATTTACATTGGACATCGACGGGTCCGGCGTAAATGAGATAATTTACGTCGGACAGTTAAAGCAGCCGACGTAAATTATCTCATTTACGTCGGACCCATCTTTGTCCGACGTAAATAACTCCTTAAATGAAGGGCGCGCACTATAGATTTCAAATCGTGGCATTCTTCCTCACCTTCACGTTCTCCCGCGCGTTGTGGATTTTTCTTCCTCGTCCCTCCGCCTCCTCCTCAAATCGTGGTTGTCTTCCTCATCTTCACGTTCTTCTGTTTTTCTTCTTCGGAGTTGCGTTGGTTTCTTCTTCGCGTGTTGATGGAAATGGTTTAACCATACATCCATTTGTTTTTCTATGAGGTAGCATCTTCTATCAAGTTTGTGTTTTCTGGGATGTTTTTCTATGAGGTAGCATCTGTTTGTGTTAATGTTTGTGTTGCATTTCGTGTTTGTGAAACTGCAGAAGGAAGTGACCATTACCTGGGTCTATCAAGCAGAACGGGTCGTTCTGCTTGGAGAACAGCCTGTTATGCTAGCAGAACGGCCCGTTCTCCAAGCAGAACGGCTCGTTCTGCTTGCACTCGTTTTTCTTTTTTTTTCTTTTTTTTTTTTTAAATTTTTATGACTTTTTTACGTCGGACCTTGGCATGTCCGACGTAAATTTACGTCGATTTTTGACCCCCGACGTAAATTTTACGTCTCCCGTATTAACGTCTGATGCTTTTTCGACGTAAAAAGCTTCAAATACCCAACGTAAAAGGGGTCTTTTAATCTTTTGTACTAGTGATAAGAGATTATATGAATCACTTAAATAAATAAATAATAGAAGTTATAATATTTACATAAAAATTAGAAGAAGGATATGTGTCATTTAAAAAGACCTTAAAAAAGGTGATTGGAATTTTACCATAATATAAGAATGAGTCATACATATTGTATCTTTTATATATATATAGGATTGTCTAACTTCAATTCTTTTATACTTATTGTCTACTCGTGTCTTCATTAAAAGTATTACCAAGCATCAACATCATAATACTACTCACTCTTAATTTTTATATAAAAGATTCACTTATTTTAAGAATAAATTTATTCATTTACTTTAATAATAAGTTTATTCATTACTTCAAGAATAAGTTTTTATAGGCTTATTTTATTCAAAAACTTATGTTTTATATCAAATTTCAACGATTCAATCGCTGAATTAAAATTATTAATACATAAATCAAGTCAAGAAATTCTTTAAAAATTTAAAAAATTATTTGATACTTTATTTCATTAATTCAAATTGACAAATGATCATGAAAGTATTTTACACATTGATTTGAATTTATATAACAAAATATCATATGATTTTTAAATTTTTTTAAAAAATTATATACTTGATATATACATTAAAAAAATTTAATTTAATAATTAGATTATTAAAATTTGATACAGAATATGAATAATACAAACCAAGATCACAAAATACTAAAAATAATAATTTAATTAGTTGACACTGACCTCTCTTTTATTTCATTAGTTGTTGTAACCTCCCTTAAGACGTTAAAATGACACTGACCTCTCTTTTATTTCATTAGTTGACATCTCTTCTCTTATTTTATAATTTAGATTTTACATACCACCTCTTTCTAAAATGTTAGTTTATTTACATGTTAAAACACAATTTCTTTTATTATTTAATCTTTATTACTACAATTTAAAAAGTACACAAGGTCATTAATGCATATATTTACTCTTGCCTTCATTCTATTGTGACATAGTACAAATATAAAAGGAATGACATTTGCTAATGGACTGTCTAAAGACACAAGTGATTAATTAATCACATCTAAAAATCCTATCAATTATATTTATCACCCACAATTAAGTTCAAGAAACTTAAATAACTCTAAATATATTAATTAAAGAAATAATATTGTGGTTTCAATAATATGCTTCTACGTCAAATATCAGAAGCACCAAAAATAATTATACAACATTTGTGAAACTACATTTTTTTGCATAAATGAAAAAGAAGATAAGAGTTGCTTAAATAAAGACACAAAAAAAAAATAGTAATTGAGAGATAATTTATTAATAAATGAAGGGAAAAAAAGTCATGCATATTAAAAATTTATTATTTTTTACCTGAATAATTTTTTAGTTCTATTTATAATTTAAAAAGTTAGGAGAAGTCTTTATTTTTCAAATATTAAAAGAATGATTTG